GTGCTGTTTTCGGTCCTCTTCGGGGCCCTGACGCCCCTGATGCTGAAGCGCATCGGCCTCGACCCGGCAAAAGTCGTCGGGCCCTCTTCCTTGATCCCGCCCTCCCTCCCGACCCGTACCCCGAATCGAGGAGGGAGGAGGAGGAGGAGGAGGAGGAGGAGGAGGAGGAGGAGGAGGAGCGGGGACGATGATGATGATGATGATGATGATGATGATGATGATGATGATGATGATGATGATGATGATGATGATGATGATGATGATGATGCTGATGCTGATGCTGATGCTGATGCTGATGATGCTGATGCTGATGCTGATGCTGCTGATGCTGATGATGATGATGATGATGATGATGATGATGATGATGATGCTGATGCTGATGCTGATGCTGATGCTGATGCTGATGCTGATGATGATGATGATGATGATGATGATGATGATGATGATGATGATGATGATGATGGTGGTGCTGATGATGATGCTGATGATGATGCTGATGCGGATGCGGATGATGCTGATGATGATGTTGAATGATGATGCTGATGCTGATTATGATGCTGATGAGGATGAGGAGCAGGAGGAGGAGGAGGAGGAGGAGGAGGAGGAGGAGGAGCGAGGCGAGAGGCGAGAGGCAAGCTAAGTGCGCTCCCGCCATATCTGACATTCTGCTCCTCCAATCCATCCCTTGTCGTTGCCTTGTTGTTGTACATGTCCGCCGACTGGTGTCATAGCGCAACTGGAACTCCAAAGGGACTTCACCGTGTTATGCGCAATCTGAAAAAGGGAGTTGCGTACATTGGAGGAGGAGGGGGCGGCGGAGGAGGAGGAGGAGGAGGAGGAGGTGGCGAATGATCAGGAGGATGAGCAGGAGGAAAAGTAGGAGCAGGAGGAGGAGGAGGCAGGAGGAGGATAAGGACGAATTGCAGCAGCTGCAGCAGGAGCTGGGCTGAAATGAGCGGGAGGAGCAGGAGGACCAGGGGAAGGCGGAAGCGGTGAGAGGAGGGGGGCGACAGCGATGGAAAAAGGATCCAGGAACCACCGCTCCCTTCCAGTCGTGCTGTTGTTGGCCCTCTGTACGCCCACGCGTGTGGCAGCCGGCCTGGAGCTCGAGCCAGCGCGCATCGAAGGAGGAGGTGGCGGCTGAGCAGGAGGATGCGCAGGAGGAGGAGGAGGAGCAGGGAGGAGGAGGGCGAGGACGAACAGCAGCATCAGGAGCGGGAGGAAGAGGAGGAGGAGGAGGAGGAGGAGGAGGAGGAGGAGGAGGACCAGGGGAAGGGGAGAGCGGAGGAGGGGAGAGGAGGGGGGCGACATCGAGGACGGGCTCGGATCCCCAAAGAGTGGCCCGCGCAGGGGCGAGAGCGCCAGCCTGGACGACGGGCGCAGAGCAGCGATGGCAAAGTGAGGCACGCGGCAGCGGGAGCAACGGTTCTGTGACAACTGCTGAGCGTTCCAGTTGGTAAAGCCATCGGATATACACCGGCTCCTGAGATCCTGTGTTTCGGGGCAGTGTGCGGAGAGGGCGGGCAGCTTCCAGACGGCGTCAGGGTGGGTGCAGCAAGGGCGCGTGCGGCTGGTGCTGGAAGGAGGGCGTGCGCTGTGGCGCCGCGCCGGCCCGCCTCTGAATCAGACGCTGTCCCCCCACCTTTTGGGGGCCGCGTGCGCCGACGGAGTCATGGCAGGATCAGTCCCAGAGGAGCTGGCCCTCTAGGGAACTGGTCTGGATTTCGGGGCCCACGCATCGGCAAGAGTTGGCGCAGCCCGATGTCTGGGACAGCGTGCACAGAAGGGGCCTTTGCGCGGGGATCGTCTCGCAGAGATGGCGCGCGTTTCGGAGGTCGATGTTGCACGCTTTACCTCCAGCGTCAGTCTTGCGGTCGAGAATTTCGGGTCAGCGTGTCGCGTGGGGATCGCCTCGCAAGGATAGCGCGCGTTTCGGAGATCAATGTCGCACGCTATCGTTCCAACGTCAATCTTACGGTCGGCAACTTCGGGTCAGCGTGTCGCGCTGCGGGTTCCTGCCCACCGCGCCTCGGCGCGACACGCTGTCCACGTCCCCACTCGCTGAGTGCCACCGTCCCGAGCTGAACCGACCGACGCGGACCTGCCGCAGCTCAGCGTGTCGCTCCGCCGGTGCTGGCCCACTCGCTGCCTCGGCGCGACACGCTGCCCACTCGCTGCCTCGGTCCCCGGGCGTCGACGTCCCGAGCCACGCGCGCCCAGCCTGCCCCCTCCGCGGCGCGGAGCGGCGCGCCCTCCGCCTGCCAGGCACGGCGCGTCGCCGGGGCCCCTCGCCCGCAGACACGCTGTACAGCAGAAGCTCCCGACCGTCGGGGTGGTCGGCCTCGCTCGCTCGCTCGCCGGCGCGCGGCCCCCTGGGCGGAGCGCCGGGCCCCGCGGGGCCCGCGGGGCCGAGGCGGCGGGCTCCTCGCGCGCACCTCCCGTCCTCGAGGGGGGAGCGGAGGGTCCTCGCGCGAGGAGCGGAGGGCCCTCCAGGCGAGAT